CAAGACAGACCAAGCACCTGCCTGCACAGGGAGAGAGTGAGCCAGACAGGAACAGGTGCAAGGGCCTGCTACTGTCTATATTTTTGATCATAACCATTTGAGTGAGGGGGCAGGTGGTACAGGTGCTCGGCTTCCTTTTAACAGCTGTGTAGTATTCCATTCTCTGGTTCTAGCAGAATCGATTTTTCCATCAGGTTGTTGGTGTTTTTCTTTGATGTCTGTAAGAGTTTGTGATACATTAAGGGGTTAGCCTTTGTGATTCAAGTTGCAAATGTCTTCTATTTTACCATTTGTCTTTGGTGCTTGGTCCTTTGGTGCTTTTTTCCCAGACCATTTTTTTAGGCATTGAATCCACAAACCTTTTCTTTGACTGCTCCTTTCCCATCGTTTCTTGCTCCCACAAGCATGCTTTCTTTTAATGGGGCTCTGGTGGGGCAGTGGTTAAAGCATTGGGCTACTAACCAAAAGGTCAGCAGTTTGAACCCACCAGCTGCTCTGTGGGAGAAAGATGAGGCAGTCTGTTTCAGTAAAGGTTTATAGCCTTAGAAACCCTATGGGGCGGTTCTGTTCTGTCCTATAGGGTAGCTAGGATTTGGAGTTGACTCAATGGCAGTAGGTTTTGGTTTAAGCATCCTTTCACGTGTACTTCGGCAAACTCATGCCTGGTTTCCAGTGGACACGTTCTCAGTGTGGTAGTGCTGAGTCATAGGGCAAGGCATGATGTCTTGAACCAGATTCCCAAAGGGTGGCAGGATGAGCATGGGCCCTGGGGGCAGATGGCTTGGCTTTGGCCTCTGACTATGCTGCTCACTGGCTGGGTGACCATGCACAAATCCCTTCTCCCACCAAGCCTTAGTCCTCTTGTCTGTGAGAGGACTATGGGCAGCTGGGTCTGCTAGGGCATTGCCCAGGTAAGACATGGCTCTACTAGGGCTCAGGGCATGCTGGTGTCCTTAACAGGATGTGGGCTGAGCCAAGGCCTGGTAAACAATACAAGCTTAATAATTGCAGCCTTCCGCGTGCCCTGCTAGGTGGGCATGGGGAGTGCAGAGAGGGACCATCGGGGCAGAATGTCTCTAGTGAGTGTGGTCATGGCCCTGCACCCATTGGCCTCTTCTGGGAGCTCTCTGGGTACCCAGTGGCTGCCTTCCCTTCTGAGTCATTCCCCCAGGGGCCTCCACAGTCACCCTTACCTGATCTCCCCGTGTCACATGTCACCCATCTTCCCTTGCTGCTCCCTCCTCATCTGACTTCCTGGGGAGCAAGGTTGGATCAGGTGCTTGGACTTGGTCACCCAGTTTCATCAGGCCATGCAGGTGACAGCCAGCCTCACCAATGCATCACCCCCAGAGCTGACCTTCCCGCTGGCTCCAGTCATGCTGCTCCGTGGCCTTCCACTTGTTCAAATCAAACACCTCCCTCCCTCCTGCCTGCCCTCTCCCACCCCTAATCTGATCTATCCCCAAACCCCATCAGCGTCACATTCAGAATCTACCCAGAGGCTGGCCCTTCTTTCTGCCTGCTCAGCCCACACCCTGGGCCAGCCCCCGTCTGTTCCTGCTCTGACCTCCTGCTCCTGCCTTCGCCCCACAGTCTGCCTCCCCAGCAGCCTGCCTCTGGCCTGACCCTCTGCTCGCCATCCTGTGGATCCCGTTTCCTGGAAGCCTTCCCCCTCGCTCCCTCAGCTCCGGCCTCAGCGGGCTCCCGGCTCGTCCTCGTGTGGCCTGCACACCCCTGCTGCTCCCCCACAGTGCTCTTCCCATCCCCACACGGCTTCTCCCAGAAGCCCCTTCACCTGGCTCTCCTGACTCTGCTTCCACCTCTGCTTCCTGCTGTAGGGGTCTCCTGGCCCCTTCTCTCTCGGGTTCTTGACTGTCCTGCCCTGCTCCCTCCAGTGGGCAGGGATCTTTGTCTCTCTTGTCCTTGCTGTGTAGGGCCTGACACATGGTGAGTGCTCAGGGGGTGAGTGGTCCTCTGGGGTGCTGAGGTGCTGGGAGCTGGCAGCGGGGGCAGAGGCTAATGGGCTGGCCCCCTCCACAGAGCAGCAGGCTGCCTCTAAGGCCCAGCGGGAGCAGGAGCTGGCAGCCAGTGCCTTCCAGGAGCTGGACGATGACATGGACGGGATGTGAGTGTGCTCCCTGCCTCCCTGCCCACACCTGCGTCCCATCCTCCATCCCAGCCTTTAGAAACCAGCCAGAGCCCTCCCTGGGTCACCCACTAGCTCTGCCTTCTTGCTGGGGCCCTGCTGGACTCAAGGCCTCTGTACTCACTTGTGAGATGAGCCCAGACAGGAGGCACCTCGTCCCAGGATGCTGGGTGAACAGAGCAGGGAGCCTCGGGCCCAGGGCGTGGTGGCGGGGTTGTCTTACTTTTTCTAGCCTGCTCTATGGCCTGAACACTTTGGTGGGAGCCAGACTTGGGTTTGAATCTCAGCTGTGCCTCTGTCCTGGCCCAGTGATCTCAGGCAGAGGGCTCAGTTGGGATGCATTGATGGGAATGTGAGGGGACCTAGAGAGCCCAGCACAAGGCTCATCAGGCAGGAGATGGGGGGTGGGAGGGGCAGTTGGCCTTCAAGGGGACCAAAGGGGCGGAATGGGCAGGATAGGGCTGTTCCCTGGCTGGCAGTGGTGTGGGCGGGGAGCAGGATGCGGTGCCTGGGTCACTGGCCAGCGCAGTTAGCGTGGTAGTCTTGAGGGGCACAGGCCGGAAGGGCAACTTCCATGTGTTGGGTTCTGAGGGTAGAAGGAGGTGGAGCCTGGGTTGGTGAGGATAGAGGTCTGGGGGGATGGGGGACCCTGGTGGCTTCTAATCCCACTCCTTTCTTTGATCTCCTTGAGGGTTGTGGAGTCTGGGGTAGGAGGCAGGGAACTGGGTGGCTGGGGACCTGGTAAGGCCCCCAACCCCAGACCTCACCTCCTTTCTACTTTCTGTGCCCCTCCCTGGCCACCACCTCAAGGTCCTGAAACAGGACCTGGGAGGGGGCCCTAGCAAGGAGGGTGGGCGAACAGAGCATGGAGCCTCGGGCCCAGGGCGTGGTGGCGGGGTTGTGATTCCCATGGCCTGCTGGGTACGTGGCCAGGAGCCAAGGGGGCCTCACCCTCCCTGGCTGCATCCCCTCCCCCAGGGTCTCGGTGGCAGAATTGCAGACCCACCCGGAGCTGGATACGGATGGGGACGGGGCGCTATCAGAAGGGGAAGCCCAGGTACCCTCACTCTGGCCCTTGGCCTGGACGTCTCGAAAGGGTTGTCTCCAGGGTGACCCCAGGGCAGGGGGTGGGGGCAGGCTGGCTATGGGCTGCTCCCATGGAAAGCTCCCTGGTGGCTGCAGGCCAGGGGCTGCTGGGGTACCCAGCTGTGGCCGACATTGCCTGGCCACGCCTGAATGAGCCAGGATGACAGCCGCCCAGGACAGCTCCTCCCAGGCCTGTGGGCCCTGCGAGGGTCCTGGCGGGTGTTGCAGGGTTACAGCCAGGTTCCCCACACCTGCCCCCACCCCACATGCTCCCATTTGGTAGGTGCAACCCCCTCCCTGTCCTCATGAAAGAGCCTGTGGCTGGCTGACTGCCCCACTTCACTTCTGCTACCAGTCTGGACCCTCCTCAGTTTCTTGTTGTGGCTGGCCATCTCTCTGTCCATCCTTATCACTGCTGGGTCCCTCCCTGTCCCCTCTCAGCCTTGTCCTCAGAGGACCTTTCCTTCTCTGTTCTCCCCCCCACCCCGGGGCTCCCCCTCAAGGTCTCTGTTTCTGTCTCTCTCTGGCCACTGCTCCTTCTCTCTCTCAGGCCTGTGCCTTCTGGCCTCAGCCCCCTCGCCTGGCCTGGCTCGTCAGGAGGGGTCAAGGCCCAGTTGGGCAGCCTGGGGCACGGCTGTGCCTGGCACCACAGCCTGAGACACCCCCCTTAGTGGGCACCTAGAGTGGACAAGAGGGGACATGGAGGCCCCAATCCTGACACCACCCCCAACAACACAGGCACTCCTCGGAGGAGACTCGCAGACAGATGCTGCCGCCTTTTATGACCGTGTTTGGGCTGCCGTCAGGGACAAGTACCGGTCAGAGGTCAGTGAGGAGGGGCTAATGTGGGCCTTGCCTGCCCACTCCCAGCACCTCACAGAGGAGTCGCCTCTCAGCCTGGCACAGGGCCACCCTGGCCAGCCGGGCTACCCATGCCCCCTCTGGGGAGGTCCTCCATCCCCAGCTATCCATCCTTCCCCTCCCACCAGGCTCCTCAGAAGGGGTGGAGACACAGAGGCCTCCCCCTTAGGCAGTGGCGAGAGCTTAGACCCCAGACCCAGGAAGCTGGTGTAGGGGGTAGACTCCTGAGTCCATGGCATCTGCCCACTCACTCTCACTTGCCCACTAGGCACCACCCACCGACCTGCCGGCACCTACCACTGACCTGACGGAGCCCAAGGAGGAGCAGCCACTGCCAGTGCCTTCACCACCCTCAGAGGAGGAGGAGGAGGAGGAGGAGGAGGGAGAAGAGGCCGAGGAGGGGGAGGCGTAGGAGGAGGAGGAGGAGGAGGAGGGAGAAGAGGCCGAGGAGGAGGAGGAGGAGGAGGAAGAGGAAGAAGAAGAGCCTGAGGTGCAGGGAGAGCGGCCCAAGGTGTGTGGGGGCAATGGGGGCTGGCAGGGTTGATGGGTAGGGGTTACTTGCCTGACTCTTGCCATCCCCCAGGACACCCAGCCCCCACAGGTGCCACCCCAGCCGGCCAGCCCCACTGAGGAGGACAAGATGCCGCCCTATGACGAGCAGACGCAGGCCTTCATTGATGGTGAGGCTGGGCCTGGAGGAGGCCCTGCCTTCTCCAGTGGTGGTGGGGTGGGCTGAGCACTTCCTGCCGTGGCCCTGCTTTTCTTTTCCTAGCAGCCGCCACTCAGCTACCAGGGAGAACCTACACTTAGCCTCACCTTACCTGTCTCCACCCGCAGAGGTCCAAGACATAGGCCCCCCCCAGCCTCCCACAGACCTGGGTGGCAGAGCAAGCCTGGCGGCTGGGAGCATCCTGGAGAGGGTGTTTGGGGCCTAGGGGAGGCCTGCTCTGCCCAGCAGCCCAGGGACCCTCCTGCTTCCCCATGGGCTACAGCTTGTTTGTGCCACCCCTGGCAGGCAAGAAGCCAACTGGAGCCTTGGCCTTGTTCCCTGCAGAGCTCAGAGCCTCCTGCTGCCTGGGCATCAGGGTGGGGTCTGCCCCAGGCTGGCGAGGGCCCATAGGGCCTCCTGGGGCCCAGTCTTGCCAGAGCAGGCATGGGGAGGAGGCATGTATCTGCGACTCCTGTCCTTATGGCCATACCTTTGACTGCCCTATCCTTCTCCCAGCTGCCCAGGAGGCCCGCAGCAAATTTGAGGAGGCCGAGCAGTCCTTGAGGGACATGGAGGAGTCCATCAGGTACTGAGGGCCCCGAGTCGTGCCTGTTCCCCCGCCGGCCCCACAGCCCTGCTGCCAGGTTCCCTAGAGGAGGGAGTAATTGGGTGTAGCCGAGGTAACAGGAAGAGGCGGGTGGTGGCTCCTGTGGGAGGGTCCCTGGGTGAGAGCCAGGCTCCGGGTCTACTCCATGAGGCCCTGGGCCAAGCTCTGTCCACAGCCGCCCCTCACCTTATCCCGGCCTGTCCCTCTAGGAACTTGGAGCAGGAGATTTCCTTTGACTTTGGCCCCAGCGGGGAGTTTGCCTACCTCTACAGCCAGTGCTACGAGCTGACCACCAATGAGTGCGTGCTGGGGCCCTGCCATGCAAGAAACAGGGCCTCGGGGTGGGCCCTGGAGGTGGAGTGTGGGGCTGGGTAGGGCTGCTTTCCCCTGGAGGGGAAAGGGAGTGAGGGCCAGGGACTTGGTCGTTGGAGTGGACTTTGACAGGTTGTTGAGGCCAGTGGAAGTCTGAGTTCAAGGAGGGGCTAGCAGTAAGAAGGTTGGGGTTCCTGGGTCTCTCCACTTCTAGCCCTGTCCTTTGACAGGTACGTTTACCGGCTCTGCCCCTTCAAGCTTGTCTCACAGAAACCCAAACTCGGAGGCTCCCCTACCAGCCTTGGGTGAGTGGGAGTGGGCTGGGCTCCCTTCCCTGCACCCGCAGCTCCCACCCAGCAGGCCCTCAGCACCTTCCTCTCCACAGCACCTGGGGCTCGTGGGCCGGCCCTGACCATGACAAGTTCAGCGCCATGAAGTACGAGCAGGGGACAGGCTGTTGGCAGGGCCCCAATCGCTCCACCACTGTGAGTGCCTGACGGCTGGCGTGGGGGCGCCCAGACCCTGCCAAGCCCTCCTGAGACCGCCTTGCCCTGCCCCAGGTGAGGCTCCTGTGTGGGAAGGAGACAGTGGTGACTAGCACGACAGAGCCCAGCCGTTGTGAATACCTCATGGAGCTGATGACGCCGGCTGCTTGCCCCGAGCCGCCGCCGGAGCCGCCTGCCGATGGCGACCATGATGAGCTCTAGCTTGCTCTGAGTTGGTGTCCAGGTAGTGGATGGGGTTGGGTCTCGGCCTTGGCAGCTCTGCCTAGGAAGGTGCTGGACTGTGTGCCCTCCGTCTCTCTCAGCTCACGTGGTCTTTCTCCTGCTCCAGAACCTCAAGGTGTGACCTGGCCCCATCAAGCTGCCTGCCTGCCCTCAGTCTGTGGACCCCGGCTGCTCCCTCAGCCACCCTCTTCCTCCATGAGGGCAGGAACAGTATAAGGCTCTGTGCCCAGCTCTCGGGGGGTTGGGGTGTAGGGGGCAGAGCTGAGTCACACCCCAGGCCCCCGTGGCCTCCAGAGATGGAATGAAGGAGCCTGCCTTCCTCTGCCCCTCCACCCCCTCTGTGGGTCACCCCTGCCCCCCTGCCTGAGGTGTCTGCCTCCCTTTCCACTGGGGGAAGTGACTTGACCTGTGACCTGGGAACAATAAATGTGGATGCCCCAGTGCTGTGTCTCTGCCTTGCTGTGCTTGCATGAGAGATGGGGTAGGGGTGGGATGCCGGGGAAGGGGCCGCCTCTGGGTCCCCTAGTCAAGCCAGCACCACAGTTGGGGCCATATCAGACAAATGGACCTGGGTTTGAGTCTAGCTCTGCCACTTCTGTCTGGGTTCCCGTAGGGTCCAGCCTTTCCCCCTTCCTAAACCTCCCCTGGAGGGAGGTCAGTGGGCCCTCCCAGGCTTCAGAGGAGACCCAGGCCCGAAGGGACAGCAGCCTACTGGGGCCACACAGCAGTCCTGGCACTTCCCCACCACACAGCCCCACGCTCCAGTACACAGACACCCAAGGCTGTAAGATTCTGAACTTTTATTTTCTGGCATGAAAAGTACAAATAATTAAACAATTCCATGTAAAAGTCTGTTACCGTGGCCAGGCCTGTAATCCTGGTAATAAATAGTCTAAACGCAACGCAAAGTGTTCTTGTTGGG